TTTGATCACTATGGCTACAGGCATCTATACAACTTCATTCGATTTTTTTCTCAGGTAAAATAGCGCAAGAAGTATCATTCGGCAAACGCGCCCGTCAATGATCCACATCAGATTGTTCAAGTGTCCGATTTAATGTCTCCTCCCCTTGATTTAAATAAACGAAACTCAAATAGGTTCGGTACGACTTTTCCGGATTTGGGGTATCTATAGGCATTTAAAAATCTTCATTTGTTTCAAATCCGTGCTGATTTAGGTGATGTTTTAACGTGATTTTAATTAAAAATATCCACTTGTGTTTAACTATTATCAAATGAGAACAATTTGGAAATATATTCAAAATTAATACGGCACTGAAAAGGACCCATTAAGCATTGCTTAAGTACACTTGTCCTTTGTACCTAGTCAGGGGTAGCTAGGTGCTAATTTGTTTACTCATATTCCAAATCAAATATAGTGTGCTTGTAACGCTAGCAGATCTGTTTGTACCTAGTCAGGGGTAGCTAGGTGCTAATTTGTTTACTCATATTCCAAATCAAATATGGTGTGCTTGTAACGCTAGCGGATCTGTTTGTACCTAGTCAGGGGTAGCTAGGTGCTAATTTGTTTACTCATATTCCAAATCAAATATGGTGTGCTTGTAACGCTAGCGGATCTGTTTGTACCTAGTCAGGGGTAGCTAGGTGCTAATTTGTTTACTCATATTCCAAATCAAATATAGTGTGCTTGTAACGCTAGCGGATCTGTTTGTACCTAGTCAGGGGTAGCTAGGTGCTAATTTGTTTACTCATATTCCAAATCAAATATAGTGTGCTTGTAACGCTAGCGGATCTGTTTGTACCTAGTCAGGGGTAGCTAGGTGCTAATTTGTTTACTCATATTCCAAATCAAATATAGTGTGCTTGTAACGCTAGCGGATCTGTTTGTACCTAGTCAGGGGTAGCTAGGTGCTAATTTGTTTACTCATATTCCAAATCAAATATAGTGTGCTTGTAACGCTAGCTGATCTGTCTGTACCTAGTCAGGGGTAGCTAGGTGCTAATTTGTTTACTCATATTCCAAATCAAATATGGTGTGCTTGTAACGCTAGCGGATCTGTTTGTACCTAGTCAGGGGTAGCTAGGTGCTAATTTGTTTACTCATATTCCAAATCAAATATGGTGTGCTTGTAACGCTAGCGGATCTGTCAGACATTGTTTTGATGATATAAATAATTATCTCGCTCTTTTCATAAATGTACCCTTAGAAAAGAAGACATAAGATTTTGAACATTAAACAATTAAATTTATTAAGTGTATCATCAACAATTGATTTATTCAAACAACAACATTCAACCCACATTCATACCAAGTTAGCAATGATAAATAAGTTTAAATAAATAGTTAAAAAATATCATATCGGAAAACAGACTGAAAATTTTAATAACACTAAGGGCAAAGAAAGATAACTCTAATAAATAATAATTGAAGAAAGAGAACTGCGACCGATAGTATTGATCTCCCGCCTACCTCCAAGTCAATTTTGAAAAGTTAACAGATTTGAATAATTTTTCATATTTATTTACATATATTTATATGGATTTTCACAAAACATATCTTATTTGGGAAAACAAAGAGAGATGACTCTACAATTTTGGTAAAACTTGTGTTTTCACTATAGAAATCAATGGAAAACGGAAAATATTTTTAAAACACTCCCCACCCAACCCCCCACCCCCCTCCCTCCGTGAAACAAAAATTCCTTTTGACATGTATTAAGTATCGTTATTTAACAAATTCATACCAAAGCTTTTGTTGTTTCACGGGGGGAACATATATTTACAGACAAAAAACATCAAAAATGATCATTTTCTCACAAATTTCAACGGCGTTTACAGCTAAAAAATTGTACTTTATCAATAATATATGTTTAGTTTTACAGGAGTTATTCGTACAAACAGATTTAAGGGCCATTTATCAATATTCAAGGATATTTAAAATCTGGCGATGTTTTGAAGCCTGGTTTCAATGGAAAACATCGTATATCCCCCTTATAAAAAGAGATGTAATTAAGAGTAATTAATTATTTGACATTGGTATTAAAATTACTAATCAATTACCATTGAACTCTTCTTTATCAAAGTAGTTTTAAGGGCCAGATTATCATTAGTATTGAATTAAATGGGTGTAAAATGTAGGTGGGAATCGAGAGTTAACGTGCGTAGTTCTTTCCGTATTTGACAATTTAAATATAAATTACTGAAAATAAATAATAAGACGTGGAGAAAAATTATAAGCTTAAATAAAAAAAATTGAACAACTCAGTCATAGACTGGAATCGATATGGTATTTTTGACTTTCAACTCCAGATTTCTCCAACCATTATTCATCATTTAATTTTATTAGAACATCATCTCTAATAATAGATTCCTGATGTTACAACGATAAAAATCTTAAGTTATAGAAAAACAAAATAAAAAATACACAAAATTCAGTCAGAACATAACAGAACTTGCACAGTGGAATCTGGATAACCAAATTTGAATTTTTAACACATATTTTTTATTGCACCTACAAAAATAGTGCATAATAATGATAAAATATTTCTTCTGGAAATTAAAATTTTTAAATTCATTTTAACCTTTAGATACATGAAAATCACAGATGTAAAATTAAATGAGTTTAGCCAGACGTGTTAATTAACTAAGCATTATAATGGGGGGGGGGGGGGGAATGTAAATTTGAATTTGCAACCACGGGTCGTTAAAACATATGTCGAATTTCACAAATGTGTCTAAAAAAAGACGTCAATGGTAACCTAACAACAAAACTTTATGATAAATGTTATAACTTCAACTTTCCTATTGTCCACTTACCTTACTTAGTAGCATCTCACTGTTTTTTTAAATTTTAATTTAAAAAAAAAGAATCGTGTTCATTTCAGGACTTCTAGCATTCCAGCAATACAGTAACCATGCAAAATTGGGAAAATTATTGGTAAAATCCCCGACTTCCTAGTACTTCTGCACCAGGCTGGTTCATTTAATCATGGGAATTGTTTATTAAATAATAATTAATGAACACATAACAAAAAATGCGAAGGTGTTCTTGTGTGTGGTGTTGGCGCTTAGAGAATCTGGGTATTTCTATTTACCCAATTATCCAATACATATAAATGATCGCAAAAGGAATAAAGACCCTCCAAAATTCTCTGTAAATGATCTGATGTTGTACTTATTAAAGGGACTGCTACCCAAATTTTATTCTGAAACCAAAAGATTTTATTATGCAGATAATATTTCCTGACCAATGTTTGGTAGCATGGACATTTCTGAAGGTCAGTTATTTAGGTATCTTTAAATTTTAGTGCTTTCTATAAATACACCTTAGATTTCCCACTTTCTTGGATGATACCTTTATAAATACATGTACACAGATTCACACACGTCATCAGCCAGGTACATCCGGAATGTTTACTGTTATTTCTTTCTTCATACAGTTTCTCTGTATTGGTATTACACCGGAATATCTGCTTCTCTACTTCAATTTTATCATACACAAAAGCAGAATTCTTGGATTTCTAATTCGCAATTGGGTGCTTACTCGAGGTAGCTGTGTCTAGGGTTGCTGACCTTAATCCAGGCCCGTAGGAAGCAATTTCAGTTTTTTTTTTGGGGGGGGGGGGGGCACAGCAATACATTTTTCAGTTGACAATTGAGGGGGCACTACCAAACATTTACTGACAAGCAAAAAAAAGGTCACCAGTCGTTTTTATTGAGGGGGCACAAGCATATAGTATCTATGTTTACTACAGTAATCTATATATCGGCAAAATTATTGGGGGGCACGCCCCCCCCCGTGCCCCCCCCCCCCGGTTCCTAAGGCCATGTAACCACCCCTGTGCTAGTCTTTCCTAATGCCAGCTGTCTTTCAGTGACGCAAGTCTTTACCAGGTTGTCTTCCAGTCTTTCTGGGATGTTACTGATTTACCAGAAACAAATGATACTTTATGTAGTCAACGTGTACTGCTGGATCCACAGACGTCATTAGCCTGAATATTATGGATAAAATATGGAGAAGTTTTGTCCGTGAAAGAGCAATAATGTCAAACACAACGGACATTAGTATTTTTCGTAATTGTCCGACAAAAAAGTTTTTTTTCAAAGAGGTCTTTCTTTAAAACTTCGGTCTAAAACGATCTAGAAATATTCTCTTATAACCTTTCTAAAGTAATAAACTTCAAATCTGTGTCATTGTCTTTTTAATTTTTAAGTTGTTTTATAATGATTTAAAATCGGTTGTTTTGTTTTTTATTGACACATGCATTAGCAGAACTATATTGTATCAGAAAATATGCGATTTTCATCAATGTAAAGGGTTTCTAATCAAGAGCTATTTCAAAGTGACACTTTTCACAAATGCAAACTTGGATGTTAGCTTTAAAGGAACCTCATTTTGTATTATAAGTACATCTATTTGTTTAAAGATTTAAGACATATCAATATAGTGTTTAGAGGGTTATTGATACTCGATTTTTTCAGCGTTTTTATATAAACTGCATTACAGTGTATACCTTATAATGTTTACTGGTACTGAACGCCTCAGAATGTGATACATGTGTTATCATTATAAAATGGGAAGTAGATGTTTGTTGAGGATACAAATACCTATGTTATTTATACTATGGGGGCAAACTCTTCTCACAGGTCGAAGCAAGTGTTTGTCAGTTAAGGTCATGATAACTGTTTATAGCTTCTGACAAACCGAATATTTTCAAAAATATAACATAAGCATGTTTCATTCAAATATTTATTTTTTTCTCTCAGATTTCTCTCTTTTGCGTCACTCTGACATTCTTGCATGGGAATGTTACGGACCGAAAACCCTTGGTTTAAATATATAAGTGCAACTGCACCTTAAGATGGAATAATTAAAATAAAAAATTGACTTAAATCTATTTAAAAAAGTCAGCGGACAGAGGAAGCGAAAACGAAAGTACATAATTTTGCTGTAGTTTTGACAACGATGGCCGAATCAGGTGAATAACTAAGATATTAATTTTATACATCCAACTTTGATGTTAAAAGATAGTGTAAAAACAATTTAACATTTTAATTGTTGCAATGCAGTAGTATCAAAGTTAACATATACAGTAAAAGTTAAGTTAGCAATGAAACTTTATTCCTTTTGCATTGCTGATATTAATATAAAATATAGAAGGATATTTACTATGTATACTTTAAAATTGAGAATTGTATTTACAATTTGGAGCATTGCACAGAGATTAAAAATGCACTTCCATTATTTTTTGTTTTTTAAATCAGATACTGATTTAATAAGCATCCCTGCCATAGTAAAAATCTCCGAGGAAAGATACAAATCAACCACATACAAAGCAACTTCCAATGTAAATGGTAACGTGTGTAGACCTGTGATCCTGGACATCAGAGAGACATACTTCGGCTCGGATCTTCACAAGAGATTCTCTGCTTCTCGCGATGTTGACCTACTAAACGAAACCTTCAGTAAATTATCTGGGTTTCATCCAGACCCGTATGTTGTTAATGATAATAATTCTGAGAAAGAGCATGACCCCTTATTCTCTGCTGAGAACCTTAAAAAGGAACTGAGAAATATTGGTAAGTTTTTCCAGCTTCATGTATTAATTAGAATATCTATATATCAATGTGAATAGTAAGTTGATAGTAAGTTTCTAGCTGTCTTATTTTCAATGTAAATGCGTCATTCATCATTTTTTAAATTTATGTATAATGTTTTTTTAATATAATTTCTTTTAGCCAGTAATGAAGAAATAACAAGAAATTCGGAGATCTTCCTGTGTGTGGTGTTGGCGTTTGGAGGGTCTGGGTATTTCTATTTACCCAATAAACAAAAAAGTCTCAAACCTCAAAAATTCTCAGTAAATGATCTGCTGTTGTTCTTCAAAGGAAACAACTGCCCGAATTTGATTCTTAAACCAAAAATTTTCATACTTCAGGTAGTTTTTCTAGACCAATATTTGAGAACATATATATTTTTATTAAGGTCAATTTTTATTAAGGAAACTTAGAAAGAACATCATATTTTTAATGCGTTGATACATTAATTATAGAGCTGTAACCCTAACTTAAAGAAGGTAAATAGAGCCAACTTTGCCGGCGGACTACCATCTCCCCAGATATGCAGAGTCCCAATAGAAGCTGATATTCTTATCTATCTTTCAGAAGTATCAGGTATTAATGCAATAAAAAGATGGACTATAGGATCAATAAAAATAAAATAATTGCCTCAATTCGTATGAGCAACCATACGTTAACTTTAATTCAACATCAAATTATGCTTGTTTTAACGTTCATGCGCCTGCTGAGTGGCATTAATCATATATGTAAAAAAAAAACTTTCTAAAGGATCTTTTAAAGTAAACATGTATATTATTCCAAAATCATTAAACTTTCAAATTTTGCAATCATTATATAAAAACAATTTTTAAATTAAAACTTATATCAAAATCTAATGCACATGGAATAATGAACTTCTGCAGGTAGATATACAGATGCAATGAAAAGAGAAACAAAAGAAAAGAGGAACATTGACCAAACAGCGTGTCAGTTTGTGTACACTCTGTATGAGGAGGTCAGGAAACTTACTGATCGAAAAGAAGAGTTTGAAATAACAGAGTTGATCATTGGAGTTAATTTGTCACTTTGGGGTTTTATAAAGGATGGTTATTACGAGTCCGACGAAGGCTTTCCCTGGAACATAGATCCAAAAGTACCAGTGTGTATAGATCAGCTGACAAAAAAGCTAGTGCTCACTAAAAGGAAATCATCTGAATAGAATCCAGATGCATAAGGAATTATTTTTCATTTCAGTCTTAAAGCTGAACTTGACTTGTTGCAATTGGTATCTCTGTCTACAACTTAGACTATTTATGCCTTGTCTCGACTAGATACATGTATATCCCTGTGAACTTGAAATTAAATACGCTACAAAGTCTGCCTCATCTGTTTCATATTTGGATGTATTATTGAATATAGACGACGAGTAGCAACAAATAATTAAATTTTTTACATTCATCTTGTATCAGCCCAATGTCATTACACATTTTGATTGAATTATTGCTTTAAAAAATAATCTTTAAAAATCTTACCATTTCCCAGCTTTAAATACATATGAATAAAAAGGCGAAATGAAATCAAAAACATATTAGTCACTGGCTGAAGCTAAGTTTAACTGATATTTGTGGTGTGAAGACTCCTATGGGGACATGAAAAATCAGAGTATTAAAGAAAATTTGTCAAAGTTAGGATTTGATAATGTAACATATATAAGTTATTAACAGAATAATCATTATTTGACATATCACAACAAAGGATATGAGATGCATATATATAGGCAATCATTTTTACAAGATATTTTATAAAGGGCTATTTTCAATCATTGTAACTAGTCTTTTTGTTATCATACGTACTACTTAATAAAAAACTATAGTAACAAATCATAGATTGAATATGAAAATTGATCAATACAGGAATTATATGACCCTATGGAGTAGATGCTATATGTATGAAAGAATATGATAAAGAAGATGAGTTTTATTTCTATTTTAATCTGAAATACGAAAACTATATATTAAAAAAAATGTTGTTATCACAGAACAATTGTGTTCAAATTAATCTATTTACTTGTACAAAAAGTGTAAAAGAATTTTTTTAACTTATGGGAATTCTAGCTTAATTAACATTAGTACGAAGTAGTGCTGGAGATGATGAAATGATTACATACCGTTGTTAAATGGTTTCTTTGGCACATTCGTATAACAAGGTAAATAAATAGATAAATAAATGAATATATATATATATATATATATATATATATATATATATATATATATATATATATATATATATATATATATATATATATGCTTCCTCTTTCCAGCAAAAATTAAATGAACAGTAACCTAGAAAACTAAAACTTAACACATGTATGTGTTGAAATTGTTGTTTATTAAGGCTTGATAGATTTCAAGCTAGTATATACAAAAACCAAAATTTGACAAGCAAACACCGGTTGCCAAAAAACCAATTGTAAATTCCTGAAAAACCTTTGGATTTCGCTGCGTCAGTAAACAACTTCATGGAGTTACTTGATAAAAATTGTTCTTCTAAAAACATAGTTTTGCCATTATAACTCCTAAGAAATGCAAGCCACATAGCCATATCTTCCTTACACTCTTTATGCACTGTTAAGAATTTTTGCTCTTCTGAAACAACTAATAGCAAATTTATCATACGTCTTAAAAAGGCCCTCCCTGGTAGTATGACTGAGCAAGCAAAGTTCAAAACTCCTATAAGTGTCTGCATTTCTTTTACCTTACACTTTTCTATGTTTTGAAACTTAGACAACAAGCCTATACATTTTTCAATTTTGTCACTTGGCAAACGGGTCTCCTTAAGTCTAATGTCAATTGTTATACCAACAAATTCAATGACCTGAGTGGGAAGAACAGTTTTATCTGCAGCTAACGGAATGCCTATATCTCCACATATTTCAAGAAATTCTTTAAATTTTTCCAATGCTAAAGTCTTGGACTTTTCAATAAAAAGAAAATCATCTAAAATGTGAACAACAGCTGCAACACCTAACTTGTGGACTACAATCCACTCAAGGGCAGTACTAAACTCTTCAAAAATTTTGCAGCTAGTGCGACAACCCATTGGTAAACATCTGTCATAAAAATAATTGCCTTCCCAATGAAAACCTAATAACTCATAATCATTCGGGGAAAGGTAAAATGCGAAAAGCTGATCTTATGTCTGTTTTACAACAAAAAGCACCCTCACCAATAGCCTTGATATGTGAAATAGCCTCACTAATTCCAGAATAATGAACAGCTGCTGCCTCATCAGATATTCCCGCATTTACTGAGCCTTCTTTTCTATTAGGATAAGATAAATGGTGTATCATTCGATACTGATTCGGCACTTTCTTAGGAACAATACCTAAGGGGGAAATTTTCATATTAGTAAAGGGTGGTTGACTAAAAGGACCCTTGATGCGACCAGCACTTAATTCCTTGGAAATTTTATCAGAAACAATGTTAGGATGTTCTAATGCAGATTTGAGGTTAGGACTGAATTGATGCCCCCTATCCCCTGTAAATTCTAGACTGAAACCATTTTTGAAACCATTTATCAAGTACTGTGCTTTATTACTGTCATACCCTTCTAAATAATGTTCTAATCTGTGGATTCTGATGGGGGTGGGAAGATAGTTAATCTTTTTTCTCGGCAGATTGGGAAGAGCTAGGTTTTGTGTATGTTTGTCTTTTGTTGTAATTTGCTCTGTCATTATTTTTCCAACATTGGGATTTTGGGTGGTCTTTGTAGCAAGCTGCACAGATGTGAGGGAATTTGCATTCCGAGTGGCATGATTTTCCTTCATTGAACCTGAAGGAGTACTGACGAAAGGGCTGCTTCCGAAAAGAACCTACACTACCTTGGGAACCTCCCAGTTTTTTCATAAGGGCCCTACTGTAGAGCACTTGATCTTTTTGTCTCCAGGACAAGGTATTGTCCACCTGCTTAGCCTTTCTGAAATTGATATCATAGTGGTACCAGTCCCCCCCCCCCCCCATCTTTTTGCAACGACCTGATCAAATCCATGTAAATGGCTAGATCCTCATGTAGATTAACCTCAGTTTTGTTAAAGTGTCTGAGGACTGATGCATAAATACTAAAAGCATCAGTCCAAGTTTCAATGGTAAGAAACTTCTTCTTCTTACCCGCACTTAGACCTACTCTTCCTTTGTTTTTTACCGCTAGGTGAAAATCTAAAAACTCTAAATCAGAAGGGGGATCTAGCACATCTGACATTTCAATGAATTCATTAGCACAAATTTTTTCTTTGATTTTCGTAGATACCTTGGTGTATAAGGGCCTGCCTAGTGGTTTGTACATGTCATTATCAAAACTATCTGAAATTACAGAATTCCTATATGAACCTGGGATTGATGAGGCAGGTAGTTCTACAACATCCTCTTGGGGTTGCTCTTTCGGAGTCTCCTTAGATGCGGTTTCCTTTGTGGCGTTTGATGCTGTTGTTTTTCCTGGCAGTGTTTCTGTGGAAGTAGATTTGGCATTGTCACTCAGAGAAGTAGAGTCAGTGGTAGGAGTCTTCGGCAAAATACCTGCTTTTTGAAGCTCCGCAAGGACAGTCACAGTCACGTTTTGAGTTATGTCAAGTACCATTTGGCTTTCTTCTGTCCCTGTTTTTCTTTTCTTTGCAGGCCTTTCCTCCTTGTCCTTTGATCTTTGGGCCTTCCTCATTTTGCAGCTTCCAAATAAGACTGTAAAAAATATATCTAAGGTTACTAGTATGCCACAGGCCATGAAATGACCCTTGATTTATATCATGCCAAAATACATGGCTGAAATCATACCCCATATATACGCATAATTTATACTGTTTGAAATGCAAGAAGCAAAGCATTACAGCTATGTATTTGGCAAGATAAAATCAATGCTCATATGGTACCGTTATACAAATTGCCACTGTCTTAAACCAAATTTCATGGTCATTACATAGCTTATCAGGTTAATTGATATGATAATAAACCAAAGTACATGGCTTAAAAAGTTAATAATATAATAAACCAAAATACATGGCTTAAAAAGTTAATAATATAATAAACCAAAATACATGGCTTAAAAATTTGATAATATAATAAACCAAAATACATGGCTTAAAAAGTTGATAATATAATAGACCAAATACATGGCATAAAGTGTTGATAATATAATAAACCAAATACATGGTTTATAGGGTTGATACGATTATGAACCAAAGTACATGGCTTATAAAGTTGATATGATACTAAACCAAAGTACATGGCTTATAAAGTTGATATGATACTAAACCAAAGTACATGGCTTATAAGGCTGATATGGCTATAGACCAAAATACATGGCTTATGATGTTGGTATAATGTATTAATCAAAATACATGGCCTATCAGGTCAATATTAGTTTAAAGCCAAAATACATGGCTTTTAAGGTTGATGATGCTGACCAAAATACATGGTTAACATAATGCTGTTCAGTTCAAACCAAAATACCTGGCTACTAATAAAGTGGTATTACAGAACCAAATTACCTGGCAAACCTCTTAATTTGAGGTAAAAGCTAAAGTACTTGGCTACATTTATAATAAAGCCAATGTGAGGCCGAATAAATAAAACACATGGCAATTGTAAGATAAATATAAGGTTACCAATTTAAACGGCAAATATCATTTACCGAAGGCCAGGTTTATATACAAACTGGTCTAAATGTTATTATATTCAAAGTTGCCAAATTCATCTTTCTTTCTTTTTTTTTTTTTTTTTTTTTTTTTTTTTTTTTTTTTTTTTGAATAATCACTTCCAATTATATAAACACATACACCCATTATACAAGTTTATAAAGAGGAGGAGAACCATAACAGAAATTGGAAATATACATCCCTGTTAATTTTTTGCCAGGTGACGAACAGCATGCATAATTGCCAGTCGTAAACTTCTGTAAAACTTTTTATTCCCAATTCTGGATAAATGTACCCCATCGTTGCTAATAATCTGCAATGGGCTGTGCACGAGTCTAAGATGTTTCCAGTACATAATAGAACCATATATTTCACACATGTCCTTTAGCATCTGATTAATAATGATACGCCTTCTTTCATAAGTCTGTGCATCTATGCGTCTTGGACGGGTGCGAATGAACACTCCACAAATAAAAACACTGTCAAGTAAAGAAAAATGCTTCAACAAAGCTTCTAACCACTCTATCAAATCACACGCAAACATTTCTGGTTTCATCTCCCCACTACAAATATCATTTCACCAATTTGCGCACTGATAACACATGGCCGAAATGAATGTATCTCATAGACGTTAGCGTCCCTTTGAAGTCTGTCCAGAGTGCCCCCGCTGAGACCG